CTATATATATATATAGTTCATTGACCGAAACTCTGCATTGCTCAGATTTACGAATGTGATATTGACGGTGGTTTGTTTGTCCCAAAATCTGTTCACATACGCTCGCAGGCACGCACTCGCACACACGCTTCAGGTTTTCTCGTAGATCCTCATTGTGTGTATAGGCATGTATAGACCCGTATCCGCTGATTCCACCTGATCACTCTCCGTGTGTTTCACCTGCTCCCTGTCCGCGTGTTTTACCTGCTCTCTGTCCGCGTGTTTTACCTGCTCTCTGTCCGCGTGTTTTACCTGCTATCTGTCCGCGTGTTTCACCTGATCTCTGTCCGCGTGTTTCACCTGCTATCTGTCCGCGTGTTTTACCTGCTATCTGTTCGCGTGTTTCACCTGATCTCTGTCTGCGTGTTTCACCTGCTCCCTGTCCGCGTGTTTCACCTGATCTCTGACCGCGTGTTTTACCTGCTCTCTGTCCGCGTGTTTCACCTGCTCTCTGTCCGCGTGTTTTACCTGCTCTCTGTCCGCGTGTTTCAACTGCTATCTGTCCGCGTGTTTTACCTGCTATCTGTCCGCGTGTTTCACCTGAGCTATGTCCGCGTTTTTACCTGCTCTCTGTACCTGCTACCTCCGGTGTCTTGCAGGTTCTGACTCGGACATAGCGGCGTACGGCACAGAGACGATGCGTGACATGCTGCGCGCTCAGCGGAAGCGGATGAAGAACAGAGCACTCGACATGCCTGTATCGTAGCTACAGCGACCTCTAGCGTCGGAGTCAGGAACGGCGAAGGGAGAAATCGGCGCGTCTGTGTTTGAGGATCGAGGGATGTTAATGTTTAGCAAGGACATTGTTACAGTAATAACTGCTCAAGGGTTTTTTTGAATAACACGATAATTAATATGTGATTGTGGTGAATGAAATTCCGAAGGCATTTTAAGGCCTCGTTTGTTTTCGTGTTACATTTTTTTATCACGTCTGCCAGACGATTTTATTCGTGTGGAGTCGCAAATGTAATCGTCATTGTGACAGTCTCAGTATTTAAAAAATATATTTGTAACAACGCGGGAAAGGGGTTGCGATTAAATAATTAATCAGTGGTCATAAACTTCACAACTGTTAAAGCTTCTCCTGCATGATTGCAATCGCTGTAGTTTCGGTGAAGATTAAATAAATCTTCACGTTTTATTATATCGACATAAGGGGTTAATTTGTGGAAATGTACACGTTCATCGCAGTCTTAGGCATAAACCAGCGCTGTGGGTGACCCAGCAATAGAATAGAGAATTAATTAATTACTATTAACTAGCAATGATGGCGGTCAATCGGCATGTTCACGTTAAATTTTTGCTCGTTCTTTTGCGATTGGATAATCCGATATCGTAATATTTCACATGTAAGAATTTGTAGAGTCCATTCTTGTTCGCTAATGAGTAAAACTTATTTAACAATATCACGGTACTATCTTGATTTCCTGAGTAGATATTGCATCTTTTATTTTGGGTTTCACTCTTCCTGTCTATACAGTAAAAACCCGCGTATAAGAACCTATAGTGATTAAGAACCTGTTATGCTAAGATTTTTTATTTAGACCCCCTTGACATATAAGAAACTGTTTTAGCCGAAAATTTGAAACAGGTTCGTATTTGATAAAATGCAGTTAACAAGTTTAGTGGAGTAATGTACAAAGATACAGTATAGTGCAGTTTCATTGCATACATTATGGGATTATGCCTGGTACCATACCTTATGCCTGGCCAGGCATTATGTTTGCGGTGTTTTAAAACAATCTCGTTTTGTTTTGTTGATGTTTATTAGGTATAAAGGGCATAAAAAGAATCAAGATAACATAGAATAGGGTTTGTATTTGTCTAGATTGTAGTCATTTAGAGATAATTATATGGATATTTTATATAAACAATGGACCGCACCAATATTCGACCAGCAATAAGCACATTTTTTTCTTAAGAAAATAAGAATTTATTAAGAAACTAAATAGCCTGATTTCCCAGTAAACACCAATTATATAAGAACCTTTTTAAGCTAACTTGTAAAAATGCAGGTTCTTATACGCGGGCTTTTACTGTATTGTTTGATATACTGGTAGAAGTTCTCTTACTGTCGCGCAGGGATGATCTTGACGTTAAAGCGTCTCGTCGTTGTGTGGAAAACTTCAACGATTAAAACAACATTTTACACAACGCAAATTTAAAACCAGAAAACCATATAAATGGTTCTATCCGATCACTATAAAGGCAGAGGTCTATAATCCCCTATCCACAATTTCGAAATTCGAAAAGATCAAGACCTCGGCTTGATCGAGACAGCAACATTCAAATAATGAAAGTTATAACTCGGCTTTCTCGCTCTGTAACTCAATCAAGCTGTGGATAAAGCTCGTTACTCGTGGACACGGCAGGACCGACTCCGCGCCATAGAGTTGAATCACATAGAACCTTAAATTCGAGCGCATTAATTCTTACCATGGTACGGAAGATGAGTTAGGGCTTTCCCTCAGCATCCACCGATGTGGCAGTATCCCAGCATTTATATACAGTCATAATAAACATGGATAGTCTAAATATCATAACAAGACAAACATGTGGTGGCTGAAACATTACACTTTAGTTTATTACAAACCTACCATGCATGGCATACCCTCATATAACAGTTATATATCGTGAGCCGAGATAAGAACAGGAAAAATACAAGATAATGCTATTCAAAAGTGTACGTAAACGAATAAATCACACTTTCGTACAACGAAAAGTACAAGATAATGATATTCAAATGTATATCTACGTAAACAATTAAGTGACAAAAGGGCATCGAATTAACATTCGTTTTCTATTCCTATTATTTTGGGTCAATTCTCAATGTATGGAAAGCTCGGTTGCGATCTAACCTAGATAATATTAATTTCTCTGGTATATTTCTTATTTGCATACCTCACTTTTATTTACAGGAAGTCGTTGTAATTAAAGGCAGCCCTTAGCAGCCTATAGATGATAGGGCCTATATTCAGAAGTAGCCGCTATATTTAATGGTACCTAGGTTGGTTTCCGCCATCCTTCATTGTGATTTAACTTGCCTATAATTCACCGGAGTCGGATCCTCCATCATCCACCTGATAAACAGACCATAGAGCAGTTGTGGATTTAATCCACGGGATTTCCATCCAAATCGAGGCGTACAGGATTTGCCGGAAACCGAATATATTCATCGTCCCACATTGTGAGCGGCTCTGAATCGCATTTTCCCACAAACGTTGCAGGCTTGACGTTTACCCCGAGTTCTCGGTGGTTGCATGCAAACGACTTGTTTTGCGGCAGGTATGCATACAGCGAGAACGTCTTGCGTGTTGCCTGGTAATAATACATGTAAAACTCGATGTCTACATGTCCGTGCAAAATACCATTGGTTAGCCATCGATTCATGACGACATTCTGATCGGGAACATACGGAATGAATTCGCTGTCCGTTGTGAGGTTGATCGACAATAGAGGTAATACCCAGTCTCTGAATTGCCTCCAGTGGTTCGGCATGGGAGCGTAGGCCCAGAGTCGGGGTATACGATAGAGAAAAGCTGTCAGGTTCTCGCAAACCGTACACAGAGGGTCACGCCATACTTGTGTGATAGGCAATGCCGCCCTGGGTCTAGACAAGACGATGTTCCCGCCGTCGCTGTAGCCGCCGTAAGTAATACACGCGGCCTTCAGCCACCGGTAGTAGTACGGCGACAGTCGCATATCGTCTTCTAATATCAGTCCGTAATTGCCGGGAGAGACGTCCGGGTTCCAGCAGTCTAACCATTGCGCGGTTACGCCGACGTTACGAGGGCGCACTGTCAACACTTTCTCACCGTGCGTGAACTGGAATCGCTCGGCCACCTGCACGGCCTCGCGATGTCCGGCTAGCTTGTCTTCGGCCTTCGGTCTGTCGATGCAGATGTGCAGCGTGATGCGCTCGTTGTCGTACGCGGCTTCCTCGAGCGACGCTAGCAGACGCCGTAGCGACGCAGGCCGGTCGTACGCGAGCACCGCAACCTCCAGGTAAAAGTCCTCCTTCCAGTTTCCAGGCGCTAGTTGCAGTTGAACCAGGCCGACTAGCAGTAGCAGCAAAACGAATAGTGCACCCGCTGTAACCTGTACACAGGTACGCTTTCGCGTCAGCCAGTCTATGCGCATATCGACTTTTATTATTGAATATCGCAGTTTGCTTGTAGAAACGCCACCGTTTCCCAATAGAGAAGGCGACACAATGTAGTATGAGCACGCTTCACTTTACTGGCGCATAGGCTTAGGTTTGGTCGACAAGTATAGTGTGGTACGTACCCGGGTGTTACACTCTTCGATGTGTGAGTGATTAATCAAAGAAAGAAACTGGTTTGACAGATGACACTTATGTTTATTAGATAGGCGGTGGCTACGCGACCGGTTCCGGACGAGGAGCCGCTAGGCTACGCGTCCGGACATTCACCTCACACAGTGATCTTGCTAATACACGCGTGATTGTACACATGCTGATACGCTAGTATGTAGATGCTGATACACTTGTAGTACACGCAGGGGCGGCGCCGCAGGGGGGGCAGGGGGGGCGGTCGCCTCCCTATCATTTGCAAGAAAAAGGAAAGAAGAAGAAGAAAAAGAAAAAGAAAAAGAAAAAGAAAAAGAAAAAGGAAAAGAAGAAGAAGAAAAAGAAAAAGAAACATCTTGCAAATGATGCCCCCCCCACCATCATTTGCAAGAAAAGGTAAAGAAGAAGAAGATTCTTGCAAATAATAGGGGGATCGCCAAAAAATGAGTGATGTAGCCTACAAGCTGGACCACTTTCATCGAAAAATCGAAAAATTAAGTGTCGAAATTCAATCCATATAAAACCTGTGCTTAATTTGATAATCGATGTCAAGGTGTTATTTCCTTGGGAGTCCCAAGTTGGGACCATCATTTATCGATGATGCTGTTTCCCGGCGGAAAGGTAGGCACACTTGAGGGTGTTAACAACTTGTAAATTATAATTACAACGTTCAGACTGATCTCTCATACATACTATTACGATGCTATCTTATTTTTTACCTCCCGACCCACGGACAGTGGAGGCGAGGTTATGTTGATCGGGTCTGATGCGTTTGTGTACCGTTATGGCGGCGCGCCCGCGGCCCTGCGCGCGCGCGTGCGTCGAGTCTGTCGTAGTGGTTGTGGGTGGATGTGTGTGTGTTGCAGACTTGTGTGTGTTGTGTGGCAAATGTGTGTCGCTGTGTGTGGTTGTCGCGATGCATAATTAGCGCGTCGGCGAGCGAGACAGCCACAGCCGGGTGGCTGTGACTGAGCGGACGAGCGAGCATACATGTCGCTGCGCGTATATCGTGGTATTCGTGTGTTCGTGAGTCGTATGGCGTATAGTCGTGGCGGAGGTAATGCTCTTCCGTGAGTGCCCTCTGTATAGTTTTAGTTTAGTGTGCTGTATGCCGCAGTCGTGATGTGTGTGTGTGTATAGTGTGACGTGCGATTCATCTCTTATCCGGTCAGTGTTTTTTCTCTCCTCTAAAATGATAAAAACAATTGCTACGCCATAGATTGAAAGCATCTACTGGTTCCCCCACAGTCCGCCAGACCCCTCTTCTTATAAGGATGTCCGTTACATAGCAACTTGAATTTCAACGCATCCTAAGCTAGTTCCGGAGACCCTTTTCGACATTAGCCGCGCGTTCAGAGGCATACCAGCATTCAACAACAATTAGTTCCAGAAGACCATATTATTCTAGGTCTGAGTTAGTTCCAGAGCACCCCCCCCCATTTTTAAAATTCGCAGTGGACACATAGCCGATCCTACTATTAATTGATGCTTGGGGGAGTCAGCCCCCCTCCCGGGGATTTCATCTCTTTGGGTATATGTTGTACTGGTTCCTGCACCATTTTTTTTGTCGAGCAATTTGAGGGCTTTGATAGCACTAACTCTGGAGCTTCCACCGCGACTGCCGGGGCTCTGCCTGGACCCCAGCACAGGGGCCTTTCAGGCAGGGCCCTGCGGGGACATCCGGATTATCATACCAGTTGCGCAAAAGTTGTAATTGCCGTACACACGAGTTTTACGACAAGTAGTACCCAAGGCTCGCTGGGTGGCGCTTCCATCAACGACAGGTAGCAACCTGGTCACGCAAATGTTGATGAATTCGGTGTAAGATCACTACCGACATGACGATAGCTGCTGGCTGTTGAGGGGCACGTTGCCATAGCCATAAACAATCAACTGTGCGACGACATCATAGGCAACCATCTGAAGCCTCTCTTGTTATGTATCATATGGCCTTTAAGCTGTCTACAGGGCTGTTGGGGATGTGATAGTTGTCCTCATTTTAACGTTTCGTATGCATGGTGATATCAAACACTTCGGATGACAGCAGCGACACGTCGCCGTGCGTGCGTGTAGCACGTACACGTGCTGTGCGTGCGAGCTGCTTGCTACGTTGACACGTGACCCACGGTGGCTTGCGTACGTTACACGCCGATCGCGTGGTCGCGCTCGCGTTGTTGTACGTACGTGCGTGTTGATCAGTGTGCACGTAAAAGTCGCGTGGTGTGAGTACAAAGTGCGCACGGCGTGTGACGTCACCGGCTAAACTACGAAATGATTATATAACGAATAACAATGCAAGCCATGACAAAAAAAGCGTCAAAGGCGCCGCCTGTCTGTTTTGCTAAGTATCCGGTAATTATTTATTTATTTTTTTGTTGGTAGTTAATTTTATAATGTTTTTCTCATTAAATAATGCTGCTGCGGTTATGCCTGGAAACACTTCTGCGGAAATTTCGACGTGGTATTACGCCACGCACGTCAGATCGAAGTAAGTTACGCAAATGTTTACTGTAAATTTTTAGCTTGACTTGAATCGCACTAAAAAGTGCCTCCTATAGCGATCACCAGAATTGGTTGGTTACGATATAAAGATAGTGGGGCATAAGTTACGAGACGCAACTCCACGCAACTAATAGGATTTTATAGAGTTTTGAAGTACGCAACAAGGCACGAGGTGATCGGCAGAACACGAGCACGCAAAGGGCGTTCCTACCTTAGCGTTCTCACCGTTGCGATGATGAGTTAGTGCGTATAAATATTAGTGGGCATAAGCAGTTTAGCGTTGTTACTGCGGGGCGTCAGGGATGCTCCGGGACCCCCTACTCGCGCTTGGTAAAAACGCATCTGAGGAGTCTATTTTCAAATTTCCTGGGGGAGAGCACGCCCGAACCCCTATTCGCCGTGTCCTGTACGCACGCCACTCGGTTTCGGCCCCTAAGAAAATACCCTGGCGCCGCCTGGTAGACGCATGAGTGCGAACGGGGCGCTTCTCTGCATCGCTGATTGCCGGTGAACTGTGTGTGTGTGTGGTGAGAGAGAGAGGAGAAGATGAGAAGATAGAGAGAATGAGAGATGAGGAGAGAGAGAGATCGAGCGAAGAGAGGGCACGGAAATATGAACTAGGATAGACGACAGCAGTGCATATATTGTATATTTACGGCAATCAGCATATGCGACTACTCGCACGTAACATCCAACAGTGAACGAAAGGTGAACTCTTACGCAAATAAATCTTCTGTTAGAGCGTCAATGCTTCCTAATTGTAACGACCTAGCTTCCACACATTAAGCTGAGTTTACACTATTAGTATTTTTAGTCACGAGTCAAAAGTCGACGAGTTGATCAATTGAGTTTCAACTTTCTACCAGAATTTACCAGGATTACGTTTCTACCAGCATTTACATTATCGACCGCGAGTCGGCGAACGTTTCAACATTTCACACGCAGTGTGCGCGCGTATGGAAAGCATTTTGTACCAAAAAGCATAAAACCTAGTTTTAGACCTTAAAACCGGGTTTTAAGGTCTTAAAACCCGGTTTTAAGGTCTAAAACTAGGTTTTAAGGTCTAAAACCTAGTTTTAAGCCATAAAACCGGGTATTAGACCTTAAAACCAGGTTTTAAGGTCTTAAAACCTGGTTTTAAGGTCTAAAACTAGGTTTTAAGGTCTAAAACCTAGTTTTAAGCCATAAAACCGGGTATTAGACCTTAAAACCATGTTTAAGGTCTAAATTCGCATTTTTGCATGTAGGATTAATTCGCTCCAGGTGTAAACCGTGTGCCGCCAATAGAAAAAAACGCGCGCAGAAATTTGAGTGGAGGGACACACGTACCTCCTGATTGCTATTATATTGCTATTATCTGAGTGGCTGCATGGCAAAATGTCGCATGATCACCTGGCTGACCAAATGTTGAGAAATTAGAACTTATGTTCTAATCTCTCAACTAGTTTATATTAACTGGTTGGGCGCTCAACTTTAACGTTTACACTGCCGACTTCTGGTCGATTAGTTGAAAAGCTTATCAACACGTAAATTTTTCAACCAAAAGTTGATAGGGTAAACCCAGGTTGAAACTCGGAAATCGCACATACATACCTATGCGCGACGTTTACGATTGTAATTAGTTTATTAATTATATAATAAGGAATAAATACTGTAGCGATGAAAATCCACGTGAGTTAATTTCGGACGCTTGGATCGGAACCTATTCGAAGATAACATCATGTATTGTACGTAGTATAACGTCATGTATTGTAATATATTGTGTGTGTTGTAATCATCAGATTACGTCATGTATTGTAAATGTCATTTAACTCGATGTCATATGTATTGTTACTATAATGTATGGCTGACTCGATGACCGCATGGTCCTGTCGCCATGCCCGTGCACTGTATAAGCAAAGTTATAACTGTTTGATTTTTCCCACTGTTTGATTTTTCCACGTTTAGCACAAATAAACATCTTGAAATATTGAAATCTTGAAATCTTGAAGAGCGTCGTAATGCATTTTGAATAATTGGCACCACAAGCCAACTGGCATTGTTAACCTTTACGACATAGACGACATTGACCGTAGACGACATTGACCATAGACCATAGACCATAGACCATAGACCATAGACCATCATGACCATAGACCATAGACCATGCATAGACCATAGACCATAGACCATGACAACCAAGGCGACATAGATTGTGATAGTTTTAGATTGCCACTGGAGGCATTAGTTTAGAGAGTACGCATTAGAGTTACGTCCAAGATAATTGACCATTATCAAGAGACAGTAGAAGCAACACATGCAGATAAGAATCAGCAACCAGGAACACTTGGCCGCAAGCCAGGGGCCAGAAGGCGGGGTTTGGAAGCGGTCCAGAATGACGCAAGACTGACCAAGCGGTCACTCCATCGACTAATGTCCAAAACCAACCAAGAGGGCAGATAGGCGAGAATGCCGGCGTGTGAGGGAGAACACGCGAGTCCACCGAAAAGCCACGCCCGAGAGATATAAGGTAGAAGCCGAGAGAGGAAAAGGGGAGACGAATGAAGGAAAGACGGGAAAGATGTGAAGGGGGAAATGTATGGAAGAAATGTATTATGAAGGCGAAGGGAGAGCGAGTAGAGAATACGACTGACAATGTCACTGTGCTGAGCATTGAATAAAAGAACATTCTCATGTGAAAGCTCGCGTGTTCGCCTCATACGAACTGTGTTCTTTTACCATCGTTACATGTGTTTCGTCGCCTCATACAGAGACTGTGCCATTTTCCCACATTACATTTGGCGTCTGTGACCAAAGAACGTCGGTACTCCTTTGCGCACGCAACGCAAGAAACTAGCGATGTACGATGCACGCGCTGAGACACTAAGTGAAGACACAACTAGCATGATGAAGAAGAGACAGAAGAGAAAGAAAGAAGACAGAAAACAATGACTATTGATTGCAGCATACTGCAAAGACTGTGACGTTTAAAATAAGTGTTGGAAATGCCTACGAACAATAATGCGACAGCTATTAGGGAGGCTTATAAGCTAGAACACTGATATCTACGACCTAGCGATCAAAACGAAGCGAGGAACAACAGAATACGATCACGACGAAGCAATAAAGCGCAGCATATGATCACGACGAAGCAATGACGATAACAATGCGATCACGCAAACTAACCACATGGCAGCTGAGACAGCTCTGGATAAGAAACCTACTGCCAGCATGCGAGCAAGCAAGGGAGCATCAGATACGCGAGCCGCTAGACGCAGCGAGAGACCCGCTTGATAGGAGCGAGAGAGAGGAACGACACAGCAGTATATATATATATATATTACGGGTAAGTGAGACATCTTATGTCGGCATATATATATTACGGAATTAATGTTAAAGCGATAACTTTCAAACCACATGCTTCGTAATATACGAGCGTATTAGCGAAATGCTCAGGCACTTTTCCTACGTATACCACTACCACCGCCGCCGCCGTCCTCATACTGGTCCTGAATATAGTCTATTGGATTATTCATGACTTATACATTATCGGTATGACGGAGCTATACAATGAGATGGCACGGATTTTCAGGGAAAAGATTAAGCCTTCACTGGACATCGTGGTAAAACAGTTTATTTACGGCTTATGAGTTTCTGAACTGCGTCGTGGAATGCCCTATTTGATACGTAAATACGTGGAATAGTACTAAATCTGTGTAGTTAAGAATTCATCGGTTTCACGCATTCAATTGTCGCAGAAGGCAACATAGCGTTGGCTGTTATAGAGCCAAGGACGACTCGAGGTGTATAATCTGCCAATCTACATAAACGTAAGGTTTCAGGGCGAACTGCGTACGATCGGGGACAGAGCCGATTTATCAACTAATTAATTAGTTAATTAATTACGTTTTGATGTTTGGAAGATTCGGGAAAGTGCGCAAGGCAATGCCCCCCCCCCTGGAATTTGATCAGCCTACGGCCATGTACGTGACCGTTTTGTGGCATATGCCGTCTCCACATGTTTGTTCTTTGTTCTTTGTTTCCGTGTGCATGTGTTTTCAAAGTTTGAATTTGTGGTATGGGAGCTCGAATAATTTAGTTGCCTTGGTTATTCTAGCATTTGATAAATACGTAGAAATAGCTAAAAACGGTAACCACCTTTTAAAAACAACTATAGCGGCTATGAATCATTGATAGGTAACTTGCAGCATCCATTATGTCTTTCTATATAGCTATTTATTGGAGAACGTAGCAGCAGCTTTTAGTGGCCTTTAATGGAAGCTTGCGAGACAAAATATCAGTGCCACTAAAAGCTTATATAGCCATATATATTTTCATTTCACGTCCTTTATCACGCAATCCTTTATTGGAGCACAACCTAATAAGCCTGATGGCCAGCAGGTTCTGATATATTTTCGTTCTATCATTACTATATATATATACTGCGTATGCACGACGGACATACTGTAGGAATGTGCTCTCCTGCAGGACCCGGTTCCACAGTCGTGGATTAAATTTAACTCTGAGTTAAGGAATTTAACTCAGAGTTAAGAGTTAATTTACGACTGTGGAACCGGGTCCAGAGCAGTAGCGTCCGGGAGGATGCATCCCACATAGATTTTAAAGGAAAATAAGGGAATTGATCGACGTGCCTAACACATGTAAGTTACCCTAAAATAATTGTCCGGACAAAATTATCTGTTTAGCGTTACTCATGATATGCGCGTTTGATTTCTTAAACCTGTAAAAACTATTCCCTCGTCATTAATAAGGACAAAAGTAGCACGCAAAATAAATGCTCCATATGAACTTGCTCAGGTTTACGCTCTGCCATTGAAACAGGCGTTGTTAGCGCCTACTACGTGTACGCCTGGTGTTACGTCAGGCGTTGTTACCGCCCCTATATTGTTTCAACTCGTTAGATCCGTGTTCGCACATAAACTGAACTTCCTAATGGAAGTATCATATTATTGAAATTGTACAAGTCGGGAGTATATTATACTCAGCACTAGTTTTATGCGAAAAATGCCTACATCGGTGTGTCACTTTAATTATTATAACATATGCCATATAATAATTATGTGTGTCTGTAAGTGCATTACTTATAAAGTGAATGGGGGTTCAATAGAGCCTCACCATATACGACACAAATAGGCGTACGATACAAATAAAGACTGCAGTTGCCTCAGAACGAATGATGGGTATAACTTTCGCATTTACCTGTGTATGTGTTGCTGCTTACACAGCCGTGTTGCGTTACCTGGGTCACTGTTTACTTCCCCTACTCTCACATTCTATACGGACAATACTCATTATCCTTCTACGTGGAAAGGCGGAGTAATGCGGGAAAGGCGCGGGAAAAGTGGGGAATTGATTCGGAGGAAGATGGAGGGGATGCAGAAGAAGGCGTAAGCATGGGGAAAGTAAGTGGGGTCAGGGAGAAGAAAGGCGCAATGGTGAGGGAAGACCGAGTGGGTGCCGGAGGTCGAGGCGTGGCCCTCCCTCGGGGTGGGGGCAGGCAGAGAGACCCAGCGCAGGGGTGCGTGGGAAGCATCGGTGAGGAGGGTCGAACATTAATAAGTAATTAATTGCCTGAATATAAGTAACTAATCTTGACATCACGTGTCGATTAGGTTCCATTTGTATGTCGTAAGAATTACTGCCCCACCGACTTAAATTGTGCAATCAAACGTGAAAGCTGGCAATATAATATACATATAATATACATACAATACATATATATATATAGTGTAACGAACTCCCCGCATCCTATCGTCCTGTCGCGTGTCTCAGCATCCCAGGTCGATGTACAGCATCCCTGGTGGCTATGACAGCGATCACGTGATTCCCACCGGTTGTATGAAGGAAACCTGTGGGGTGATGTGTGGCTTGTCATGTGATGTGCGTGACATAAAACATGACTTGATCACGCGTCTCTCGTGATGCATGATGGGAAGGTAAGAAGCCCTACCCACGCTGAGCTTGTGGTATAAATACGGGGCTATGCTCTCAGTAAGGCAAAGTATACGATCTGGAGCGACCGAGACGGGTCAAGCCAGCATTGCGGCCACAAGCAGGAGGGCCTCATCTTCACGGATCACGTAAGCATACCAGTATCTAGTTAACCCCTGCACAGGGCAAGCAACTCACTACAGGGTGTTAGTTAGTACTGTTTAGCTGTTCAGTTCATCGTGTATATTTCTGTACCCCAGCGACAACGCTGTGTGGGATTTTGTGCACCATCTTTTAGTTCACCTTAGTCTGTTGACTAAGGCCGAATAAAAGCCCCGGGCCTATTCCCGGCGTAAACACTTTTATCAGCTTGTTCTGATTTTTACGTGTTGCTATTTCTTGTGTTGACTCCTACACTACAATCCAGTGGTCGAACCTTCATTCGTCGTCACAACTAGACGTAAAATCGTTGCACATATATATATATATACACATACATATACAAATACACATACAATATATATATATATATATATACACACGTGTTTAAATTACTAATGCAGGTAACGCGAATTTACGACAATGCTCCATTGTTGGTGAAGTCACCACCTGCAGCTGGGTCACTCACCTTGCACTATAATATATCAATTTTCAAAAGCATTTGATTGTTTCACATTTTACTTTCATATATTATAATAAGTTATCACACTTTAACTTCTTCCTCTGTATGTTGCACATTGGAAATGCTTCATCATGCAATTTATATGCCATTATTATACACCTTTTACATATATATCACCCATATTTACTTTTTATCTACCACCTCATTAGGTACCACATTGACAGACATTCGATGCAGCACAGGTTATTCTATTCCTTCAACGGCAGTGAAAACTTGTGTATGAATTATTTCTAAACATGTTTAGTCACAAAATTTTAGTCCCCCAGACTAACGTTTTGTCGAAAACTACACAAAGCCTGTTGTACATATGAAATCGTCATTTGTTAGCCTTATTCAGTATGGGACTAGTATCTATCCTGACCCAACTAATTCTCATATCAGGGAAATAAACACAATGATTTCTTTGGTAGTGGAAGACTGTATTCTATCATCAGTTGATAAGCTAGCGATGTCAATTTCAATGACTCTGGGGTCAGCAGACAACACTTATTACCCACAATAATTGTCCCACAAGTGTTATTGCACCCAACTTTCAGGCTCGGTAACTGACGAATCTTGGCACGTCAACGATTTTAACATAAACCTGTGCCTGTATAAATTAATACAGTTCTTGGTTGCATACAATGAAAACATCGTTTGGCCACGTGATGTGAATATAAACATGTAAATACCTACACTCACTCGAAAGGCACACTTGATTTAATAACACTATAATCACAGAAAAGGATTTCGCAGTCCTTTAATTCTTGTATCATTACCTATTTAAAACATGCATTTCCTTTCGATAAATGTACATAACGGCTCCCTGGTTACTGGTGTTCTCATTAGCAATAGCCATCAAAACTTCAATAAAGGTGTTTAAAACTCTTTGAGCTGTTATCGTCAGATTAGCTACACTTCACGTTCCATACAACCGGCTTCACTAAGTGGCTCCATCGAGGATGGGATAATCTATGAAGTCCATGGTGCAGTTATGCTTGCCCCAGTCTCCCTGGCACGGTGCCCACTCCAGCTCAAACAACATCAGTCTATTCTTCTTGGGGGCAGGCAGAAGTAACGGTGCAGGAATGTAGAGAGTCACCTGGGGTCCCGCCACTGGCCAGTAGCGTCCCACATTGAATCCATTCACAAATGCAACACCCTGAAAGTATGGCGAACACTCCAACCTAAAATTTCAGTACCGTTCAGTAGCAATACCAGTAACGATGCAGGTACATATTGTGGATTAGATCGTCAGTGCTTGAATAATATATGGACGTAAATATAAGATGAGAAACACATTAGCTTAATTCAAGTATAATATCGAAAGGTTCAACGTTTACAATTTTTTACACTTGTTATCTGGTTAATATATTTTTAAAGACCTCATTTTCCACAATCGCACACTTTGAGCAGTATTTATTTTTTACCTTGTACCATCCTGACGCTTTTAGGAAAGTATCAGCAGGCTCTGTCGTGTTGATGACAAAATCAGCCACGTAAAACGATGCAATGCTTGGATCAGTGGCTGTGAATAAACAATAATATAGGTTTTAGTAATGTTTCAAAGTATTCAAATAAAAAATAGATATTCAAATTGATAGAATTTTACTAAATTTGTATAGTAATTATTATAGTAATTAAAGGGTACTTTGTCTACATCAGCAATGAATTTATCACTTTATATACCTCTACTCAACTACAGAAATGTTCACCACCGTTTCTGTATCCCC